AAGTTTAATTAATTTCCCGATTCCCCATATGGGTATATGTCATAAAAATCACCTGTTCACACCTTTTTGAAAACAGCGGAATTTGTTTGCTAGCACAGCCGGGAATTGACCAATTATCACCAAGGAAATGAGGAAATCACCAACCCTAAAGAAGAAAACGGGTTTGTAGGATTATCATGTGATATGTGCGACTTATAAACGAAACGAAGCAAGGTTTTATCGTTATCTGCCCATTGTCGAAATGTCGCAACAAATTGAGGCGCGGCAACGCTCGTACGTGCATTATTATTGTCACTGTCCTGACGTGTCCAAGTCTACTACTACGGAAGAGGAAGAAGAGGAAGAAATTGTAGAGTCTATTCCTGACTTAGACATTAATTCTCCTCGCATTCATTTTTCCACTTTTCCTATATCAAAACTATACTTTTGTGATGATTGCTATCAAATACGTTGCCCGAGATGTGTACAAGAGGAAATAGTTTGTTACTATTGCCCAAACTGTTTGTTTGAAGTGCCAACTGCTAGTGTCAAAAGCGAAAGAAATAGGTAAAAGTATTACATTTTTATTTTTAGCTGGGGCTTAAAGATAATGAGAAGTAACGATCTTTAAAAACTTCAGAACTTGATAAATTTTATACGAATTTACTAAAAACATGTAATACTATCAGATGCGCGCGAAATTGTTTTCAGTGTCCTATATGTCAAAATACACTTTCGGTTGTAGCTTCTACTGAACCCCCACCTCCGCAAACCTCTCACCCTTCTAACCCCTCCTCTGCAGTGGCAAGTGGTGCTCCTTATTATCTTTCATGTGGTGTTTGTCGTTGGGACTCTCAAGAAATAGGGATGACATTTGAAAAGGCAACTGGATTAGCATGTAATTATTTGATTTATCAAAAATAAATACTTTTGATTTTAGGAAATTTACGCATTTTAATATATTTTAATATATTTTAATTCAACTGATATTAGTACAACTTCAAAAAACTGAGGACGAAAGACCTGATGTGAAAGAATTTGATCATCTTAAAGATCATTTTGAGAAGCATTTACGTCTCAGTGCTCCATCTACTACACTTCCAACTTCATTATTGTCGATTCCAGGCATAAGCAGTTTCAGCAATCGATATGGTGGTAGTGGATTAGCTCATCCACAACAAAAGTCTGATGATGTTGCAAAATATGATGCCATTGTAAAAGTTGAGAGTGATGATAGTTTGGTTCATGATTTAGTTCAATTGAAAGATGTCAATCAGAGTATGTGTTAATTATTAAATTATATGCTTTTCATGGTCATTAAACTAGTAATCTCAACTTTATTCTATTGTTAATAGTTACCACATTGACACAGAGAATGAATCAACTTAGTGACCAACCATACAAAGTGGAGTGAGTGTATAAATAAATTGAACATATATATATATTTTATTTATTTTTGGTTCGTTCATTAATGATTATTGACCATATGGCAGGCGTCTTCAACCTCAACGTATACATCTTCGAACAAAACGCGTAAAACGATGTCGCTCGTGTCGTCATATTCTTATCAAACCTGAACAAAAAGCTCAAGCCACCAGATTTAAAATTAAACTTGTTGCCCTGTATGTCTTATTTAAATTAATTGAGTTTTATTAATTGATTTATTTATTTATTTATATCAAAATTCGTCTAATTATTCAATACAGAAATAGTATTCCAAAAATTACTATAACAAGTTTGCCAAAACTTATTCTCAACCAACAAACACAAATCGTACTAAAGTTTTCTAACCCTTTATATGAAGAAATCATAGTTGATTTGGCTTTAAAAGATGAAACCACTGAATATGCCCAGGTTTATTTGCATTGTTTTTTACATTTTAAGTCGTAATTTAGTTGTTACAATATTTGTAATCATTTTGTTACCATAGATTAAATTACTTGCCCCACATTTCAACATAACTCCTTACAATGAAGTTTGGGAATATGAACAAGACTTCAACATTACTTCAAAAGGTCGTCCACTTTCAATTACAAGTGCACCAAAAGTTGATGTTGGTATTTACGAAAGGCGTGGTAATTATACTAGTGTTGTAGTTGATATAACGCCATTGGCTGAAGTCGACGAACTTAAGGTTTACAAAATTTATAATTTAATAGCCTATATTTTTTTACTTGTTTCGCATTTATTTACATTTTATTCATATTTATATTTTATAGTTTCCTCTTAAGGTAACTTATGTAAGCAAAATTAACGATAGTAATGATAATGAAAGTTCTGTGACTACTGGAGATGCAACAGCTGGTGACTCATCAACTACTACTGAGACAACGCCATCTGATAAACAGAATACTACTGATAAGGATGATTCTACTTCATCTACATCAGCTACAAAAAGTTTGTCTTTTTGGACCGTTATTGGATTGGGACCTGTGGTAAATCAAGCTACAGTAGGGTCACGACCCAAACCCTAAGTTTGGGTTTGGGAATCGGATTTCTACTTCACTTTGGATAATAACCAAAACCAAAAATTATATCCCATTTTCAATTCTATCACATCAAATCAAACTTAAAACCGGTCAAATTTACTAAATAAATACTATAATTTATTAACATTTCATTTTCATTTTCAATTTAAAAACCTAAGAGTGATCGGACAACTAAGTAGGATTTTTAAATGAATTGAGATGCTAGATCCAATGATTATATACAATAAATGAATCATAATTTAATAAAGGCGAAAGCTTTTTCACATATGAAATAAAATTTTAAATCAGAACTTTAAGAAGTGCCTAACAGATTTTAGAAAAGCAAAAACCCTTGTTATGTAATTCACCATTGCTCATTGCTAGATGAATTGATCGTGGCCGCCCTCTATGTAACAGCCTTTCCGGGAAAAAGACACAAACCTCAAAGCGCTAGATGGTTTTATACCTTGGCTTATTCTGCATAAACAGATCGAATTTAGCTTACAACACAAGAGCATTGGTTATTTTATTTGATCGGCTGCAGTCAGGGCAAAGGAGATCTGCCATCGAAAGCTAACATTAAAGATTTTTCTCACACTGGATATCGCAAGCATTACGCGCAAGGTCAAATACACTTATACAAGGCTCTAACCCCTGTGGCTACACAGTGCAGTTATTTGCAAAATTTGACGTATATACAATAAAAGATGTAAATCACATATATTTCCAGAATCATTTGATTGACATTTATACAGTAAAAGATGTAAACCACATATAATTTCATTATATTTATTTTTTTTTTAAAAAATTAAAAAAAAACATTAAATAAAAATAAAACACATGATTGATTAATCATCTTCCACTTCAACTTCAACCTCAACATGTATTTGTTTCGGCTCATCATTATTTTCGGCAATTTTTTTCCTTTTACGCTCAACTTCTTCTATGATGTTAATAATTAGATTTTGCGTATGGCAGATAATTACATTCATTTTGGGAGCTTGATCATATGAATTATTTGAATAATTTTTGTTAGTTACAATTACACCAATATTATCGGGATGATAACTGCTCATAAACCCGGCAACACGTTCAACATCATTAAAACCAACACCTTTTTTACGCCTCTGCTTACAACAAATAAAAATGTTAAATTCATCATATTCCGTAATTAAATATTTATCACGGTCGGAATAAAAAATATCCTCCGACTCATAGCTCCTACAA